ATTAAAAAAAGAAAGAAAAAGAGCTGGGAATGTAGCTCAAGTGTGAAGGTCCTAGCTTCAACCTCTACTATTGTAAAACAAAAACAAAATTAATTATAACATTGTTAAAGAATTAAACATTCCAGTTAGAGTACAAATTGTCAAGTTGGATCGCAAAACCAAACCCAGCTACATGAGACTTTTAAGAAACATATCTCAGTCAAGATACACAGAGAATTCTTTAAAAGATAAGACCCTTTTTGCAAATAGTAACCAAAACAAAGTTAACATAGCAATAATTAGATTTTTGGACAAAAAGCATTATTAGTGATAAAAAGGAACTTTCATAATGAAATCAGGAAGATGCACCAGGAAGATTTATTTATTTATTTTGCACAACCGAGGATTGAACTCAGGCCCTTGGGCTTGCCAGGCAAGTGCTTATTCTACTGAGTCATCAAGCTGGCCCCAGGAAGATTTAATCTATGCTTATTAACATAGCTTCAAAAAAGATAAAAATCAACAGAACTCAGAGAAACAAATTCATTATCATGGAGAGATTCTAAAATCCTTCTTTCACTTATTGACAGAGCAGGGGAAAAACCAGGAGAGTAAAAACAATTTTAGTCTCTAGAGGAAATCTATACAGAAAACAGGCTCTGACTAGACCAGCTTGTAGACTAGGCCTCAGTGGAAAACACCAGGAACCCTAGTATCTGAGTTCAAGGTAGGAGTTTCCAAAGGGTGCATTAATTCACTGATGAGACCATAATAGGGTGACACTACTGGGAGGTCCTGGAAACGGAAGCGAGTGCACAGGGGTCTGAGCATGGGGTACAACTGGGGATGCAGCCCCTGCCTCTCTGGTTCTTTTCATGTCTCTCAGGCTCCTGGATGCTCTGATCCTCTGCCGAATTCTTGTGCTATGAGGTTGCTGCCTCACTACAGGCCCAGAAGCAATGGAACTGAGTACGCATGAACTGAAAGTAGGCCAAAGTAAAATATTTTCTCTGAAACCGTGGCATATTTTGACACAGGAATGTTAAATCTCTTCCCTCCTTGCCAAGACACAATACCTAGCAGATCTCGCTAGGTTTTACTCATGAGGTTTTCCTTCGGGTCAGGGCCAGCAGATACTGGAGCAGGGAACTGCTCCCTTCATGGCGGCAGGGAGTAGGGAGGCGGGCCTTGTTTCTGGTCTCACCCACTACTCACTCTTCCAACTGGGCCCTGCTACTCAGCACGTTCTGCTGCAGTGCCTCCCAGGATCCAGTGACTACCACAGCCCAACCGCACTGAGTGGGGATGATTTCTGGTTCAAACCACAACACCGACGCACCCTGTGT